AGGGCAGCGCCTATGCTCACAACTTAATCTTTAAAAACCATTATCCGCATTATTAAAACATCTACCGTGACTGAGAGCGCTGACCGGTCTACTTCTTGTCCATGTCCTTCGGTGCACGTCTACTAAATTTCCAACATAGACTGAAAATGCAATAGCCATCTACGAACCTGAAAACTTTGTCCCGCCGCGGTGGTCTAGTGACTAAGGTACTCAGCTGCTGACCCGCAAGTCCCGGGATCAAATCCCGGCTGTGGCGGCTGCATTCGTGATGGAGGCGGAAATATTGTAGGCCCGTGTGCTAAGATTTGGGTGCACGCCGAAAAACCCCAGGTGGTCGAAATCTGCGGAGCCCTCCACTACGACGTCTCTCATAATCATGGTGGTTTTGGGACGTTAAACCCACATATCAATCAACCTAAAAACGTTTTTAACAAACATTGCTGAAAAGTGCTGCACAGGTCATACTCAAAGTTAGCTAAATATCGACCGCGTAGCACCGGTGTTCTAGTAGATTCAGGAGATACGCCTTGCTTTTGTGGTTCAATCCTTGTTCATTACAAGTTACTAACGTGACTTTCACTAAAAAGCTAAAAGCTACCAAAGACTAGTAACGTCGATTCCAGATTTATTTTGGGAATGTATGGTTGCCTCAACGCTACCTACCTCGACGCCTAAGAACTAACTCCCTCAATGTTACTTGAGAAAGCCGCCTGAGAAAATGAATAGTATATATCGTTTCAAATGATAAAAAAGACCTCCTTCTGACTAAGGGATGGCTCTCTAAACTACATCAAAGTTCGAAAATGTAAAAATATCAATACATCCATTTTGACATGTTAATGCAATGGCCGATTTGCTGCATATAGTGAGAAAAATCCTCTTATCAGTTGTGGTTAGTCGGCGCTGTCGTGTGTTCTCTTTTTGTATGATGATCGTACACGTGCGCTATGAAGTAAATGCGAAGCATTATTATGCGTACTGCAGGGAGTTTTAGCCTCTGTCTACGGATATACCTTCTATCTAGCCGCCTACGTCTGTGTGTTTTTGTTATCCACTTCTTCACTTGGAGTAAATAAATTTAATATGGGAGGGCAACATGGTTTGACGAGTATAACTCACTGGTCATGACATGAATAATATCCCCACCCCGTCGCGTACGTCGTCATACCCTGCCCGCCAGACGTGTGGCACATACCTGCAGGCCACAGGTATGCAGGTATGTGCCATAGGTGCATGAAAGTTTATATCTATTTAGGAACGGCAAGACTAGAGACCGGTAATGTGAACCGTGAGCGTTAAGGGAAAAACTGGCATCGGGGGCGTCAACCCGACGAATGACAAGAATAGGCCTAAATATCCGGGTTCCAGCAAGACTCGACCCTCAACTATTTGCGTGGCAATCAAGGATTCTATTAATGTGCCATCCCAAGTCTCGGAGCTATGTTTCAAAAATACCCTCTAGTGCTCGTGCAACGCCAATAGTGGTTATAGGGCTGATTGTCCAATTTTACATAAGTACTTCATTTTAATTTGTTTATTTACCTTCAGACATAATGCCAATTTCAACGAGGATTTTTCGCCGGAAGGGCATGCATAAACTTGGGATATACAAGAGTGAACATTTTATAGTTAACAATATGTAACCACTATGAGCAACTTCAACATAAAATCATTTACCAAACGCATATGTTATTACGAAAAATGCACCTATACGGACCTACTAGGAACGAACCATGGAAAAGAAAGAGAAAAGTAACGATAAGAATAAACGTAGTTTGCACTTGGAAGACGTTTGTTACGTGTAAATATGTCCTTAACAGATGAACACGATGTCTTCACACAAAAAGAACGGCACAGTTAGGGCTATAGAAAGAGTTCATGATTAAGAATTTCATAGGTAATTTGCAAAGAGTGACAAAGTTCACTTCATTATAACAAGTAGTAATATGTGTAGGCAGACTGTTCCATACTCTAATAGCTGTAGGAAAAAAGATAGTTTAAAATATTCAGCTCTGTACCGGTATTCCTGAAGAAATTTAGGGTGCTTATGACGCAAAGACCTGGTTTCTGGGTGATGTATTTGGTTCTACCAATACGAAGCCTATTGCGAAAAAAGTTGAAACAGCATTTTTGGCAAGCACGTTCAACGCGGTTACGAGGAGTCAGTATTCCTGCTTCTTGCATTTATTCGGAGTGAGATTCAGATGTGTGGTAGTTATTGAAAATAAACCTGACTCTCCTCTGCACGTTTTCGAATTTTTTAGGTTGTTTGTAGGTGGTAACCAGACGACGTTTGCTTACTAAAGCACTGGTCTGGCAAATGCGTAACAGGCAAATGGTTTCGCTGCATGCGGTGTCGAATATAGTTATATAGGTGCTTTCTTAGAAAAAAAACCATTTTTATTGCAGATGAGGTTACTTGCTTACGTGTGCTTCCCATCTTAGATCTTCACATATGATTAGCCATGATAGCAGGGTGAACTGGAGTTAGCTGACTGTTTGCAATAGTGTAGGAAACTTCGAATGGGATGTTTTTCTGGTTATTCTAAGTAAAGCTGCTTTACCTAAATGTAATGATACAGCAGTCACGTCGGTTTTGCGTCACTTGGAGTTAGCCACCATGCCCGGAAGTTCATTTATGTAGAAGTGTCCAGGGCTACCTTCCTCGCGAGCACCAGCGCATCAATCAGCTAACTGTTTTGATGTTGCTATTATCTATGTTGTTGCTGGCATCGTTATGCAACTCTAAACAACGGGCTACATAATACATATGCGGCTGTGTAACGTATGGCAGTGCGTGAGTTTGTAAGTATCCTTAGCAACGCCTTGTAATGTTCCACTCGATAAAAAAATTGCAACACAGTCACCTTCTATCTAAGTGCTTCGCATAACATCGACTCGCAAGCCACGTGGAATCTGCCGAATAAAATTTTTTTTAAATAATACCTCAGCATTAAGACCACGTTCACACTGCTGTAGAGCATCGCACATTATTACCACCAATTTAAATGCCAGTAATTTTATTTTATATTCTCGTTTATAGATTCAAACTGTGTAAGTTTCACGTCACCGCAACACGCAAGCAGTACTGCGTGCGGTACCAAACTGGAAATGAGCCATAGAACAAGTAAATGTTTTCTTTCTATGAAATACTCTTTACGCCGCACCTCATCTAATATTCGTGCAATTATTCCTTCCAACAGAGACAAATTCAGAAACCGAAACCCGGCTAAAATCCGCGGAAACCTGAAAGACGCCTAGGTATATTTCACTTTCAGAACAATCCTAATTAAAATGGTGTGATTACTCGATGTAACGTGAAGTTAAGAAGACTTGGTAAACAAAATGAGGGAAACCTTGCATCTGTTTGAATGAAACTGAGCCTAATTTCTTAGCTCTGCCACGGTAGTCTAGTGGCTAAGGTAACTCGGCTGCTGACCCGCAGGTCGTGGGATCAAATTCCGGCTGCAGCAGCTGCATTTTTGATGAAGGCGAAAATACTGTAGGCCCGTGTGCTCCGATTTGGGTGCACTTCAAAGAACCCTAGGCGGTCGAAATTTCCGGAGCCCTCTACTACAGCGTTTCTCATAATCACATAGTTTTTTTAGAGGTCAAAGTTACATATCGATCAAACAGGCCAGATCTATCAAACTAGCGCTTCATCAAAAGTCTTGACCAAAACAACCAACATGGGTGTATTCAACCTCTTTCATTTGCGTTCTTGTCGCTTTTATTCTAGGATCACTTTCTTATGAGTATGTTGGTACTTATTGAAGGAAATGATGTTAAAGGGCACGACTGAAATATAAAAAGCAAGACCGACTTTGCTACTTTTTTAGGACATTGGTGTGTTTTTCTGGAGATTTGCCCTATGGTATCATGTCCTTCATTCTCTCTCACAAGGTATATTTTAATATAACACAACAGAAATGAATATATGGAGCGCTGCTCTATTCCTTGAGAAGAAAAAGTGATCCGAAACGAAACGATCTAAATGGAGCTAAGAAGAGGTAGAGCTACAGCATTTTTTCAAGGCCTTCTATAGTTTCTAACAATGAAAAATGTTGCCGAAAGTTGAGAATACTGCGCTTTTAGCCTGGAAGGATCACTTACTCCAAAAGTCTAGTCATCGCCCTTAAAGCCATGCAAGAAATCACCAACAAAAACACAAAGGTGGTGTTAACTTTGTCACAAAATATTGATATGTTGCTCATGCGTAAGATTTAGGCTTGTATAAATTTAATTCAAGCACCAATAGAGTGTTGCAGTCCTCAAGAGCCCCATTCGAATTTCACTTCTTGACTTGCGATAGGCGCACACGCGATAAAGGCACAGCAACACCCTTCTTACCCCTGATTCGTGTGCCCTAAAGCTGTGTGAACGTAAGCTTTCATGTTTTCGCTTGTGTCCATCTTCCCCCTTTATTAACAGCGACACCTGCGCCCGAGGTCATCCTTCATTGACTTTCCGAAAACGTGGCATGAACTGAAGCGCTGCGGTAAACAGCAGAGAAACCAGCTAACGCATTTCGGCAGATTAGGTCACACGCTCCACCTCCCAAACGATGATATGACGATATGACAAAAAAAAATCGGCGCTGTGCCATAAATCAGGGCGTTGACAACGAGACAACAAAAGCATGTCTTGCGAGGGGTGTTCATTCGTCTCTCATCGATATATGGTTCGAAATGACTCATGTGCACAGACCGACCCGCTTTCCACTCCCGTCGTGGCTGTGCGAGTGGCTCCACAGCAGCCATTACGTCCGGGGCTGTGAGCGGAGATTCTGTCGTTCGTCACTTTTGCCGGTGTTCAAGATGGCTGCCGCCGGCGCTGAGATGAACTAACCGACAAGGTTCTCGGCCGTTAAAATACAAGGAAAGCAAGGAAAGCGTGCAAAGGTTGCGAGGGTGTGCCGGCTTTTTTGGAAGCGACCCGCCATGGGCCACCCTCCCACCTCCTTTCGGCGCCTGTAATGCTATATATAAAACTTGAACCACGGCGCACTTAGGGGTTGGCTGCACACTCTGGCCTGCTAAAGTTCTCGACGGGTGAGCAAGTCGTCGAGAGGAAGCGAAACAAGAAAGAGAAAAGAAGAAAAAAGGAAAGAGAGGAACGGCCAACGAGCCAAGACATATATCTCCTCGCGACCGACTTCAGAACGTGCAGTGTACCGCCACTGCTCGAGACCTGCGCGCCGTCGACTCCAGACGACCGTGTCCCGCGGTAGATATCGTCGCCGTGCAAGAACTTACGTCAAGCGCCACCGCCAACATGTCGAGCGCCACGACCCAGACCCACACTGAAGTAAAGAAGGTCACCGGGTGTTTGAGGGCTCCACTGCTGCTGACGTGCGGCGCCAGATGGATGAATTCGCCAAGGAGTTCCCGGACTGTATGCGCTACTTGGACGATATGTTCCCTGAACACAAGCTTCTCCCTTCTAGTGGTGGAACACCGAGACCCGAGCGCCAGCAGAGCATCGTCAAGGAGGTGAAGGTGCTGCCCAGTGACGACAAGGACAAGATCTCCGTCGAGCTCGACGTCGAGGGTTTCAAGGCAGACGATATCTCGCTGAAGGCTGTTGGCCGCAACATGACCATCCGCGCCTTCAACGAGAAGACCGAGGGGGACACGACCGTCAGGCGCGAGCTCAAGAGGAACGTTGTGCTGCCCGAGGGCGTCGATGTGGAGAAGATCGCCTGCAAGCTGACGCCCGAAAACAAGCTCGTCGTGCAGATCCCACTACCTGTGGAGAAGAGCCAGGGAATCGAGTACCTCATCCCCGTTCGCTGCGAGATTGAGCGCAGCGTGAGCCGCGACAACTTCGGCGCCGGAGCCAAGGCCGTCGACCGATGAACTGCAAGGAGCACGGCCAGAGAACGTCCGACAGACAGATTTCGCCCACAAATAGATAAAAGCGACGCTCGAAAAAAAATTCGTGCCTAATTGTTGCTTTTGTCGTGAACCTTTCCAGTATCTGCATATGCATGCGCTCTAGATGACCTAAACAACCGGGATCGACTTTGTATTTCAACGGTAAAGAGTAAAAGCTCATTAGCGGCAACAGAAGTTTGTGCTTCCGTCGTCGCCATTGTGCTACACCATTTCTTTTTGTTGTTCTCTGGCATATTGCGTTCATTATTGTAGCTGCCATTATTCGTTGTCTGTTTTGGACATCGATGTACACTCGCGCCAAGTCTGTGAGAAATGAAGTTGTTTATTTACTCATCGACACTGTGTTTATGCCTATGTCAAGGCTATCCAGCATTGTTGTTTGGTGTTCCTCTGATTACAGTGCTGAACGTGTTCTTGTGAGTCAATTGCAAACGGCGCTGTGTTGCTATGAAGGGAATCTCGTTGTTCTAACGGCTGCTTTGTTCATTGTGCTTCAAGAGCTCGCCTCGTAAGAGAAGACCCTCAAACTGAAGTGTAGGCAAAATATTTACGAATCCGATGTCTGAAAAAAAAACCACCTAAAGAAACGTTCATGTCATACTGTTTAGCTTTGGGTCAACTACCATCTTCCACGTCAATGACTTCATTTGTTCAGTCAACCGTAGGGCTGTTAAACGTAAGCATTTCATTTTTTTGGTTGCCGTTTGCTTTCTAACATACAATGCTTATGACGACCTGACTACGCTGATAGTGTAAACCACGCCCTTTTCAGAGGAAATAAACAGAAACGCATTAAACTACGATCACTATGTTACCCATGAGAAGAAATTTTCATTGGCTCTCATGCGTGTACAAGTCGTCATCAGCAGCACAAAAATGATCGTTAATAGTCAAAATATATTTCAGGTTCTATTATTCATGTGTCATGCGCCAAACATGAGGTATAGAGTGTACCTTTCTTTAGAAATAATGCGCCTTTTCGCCAGGCGAACTCAGATAAGCTTTATTGAAGGTGTAACGACAATAATTCGGGATCTTTGTAGTTCCACAGTGTTCGACGAACACGATTTACGTGGTGGATGTAGATGGCGCTAATTACTTAATTACGCTGCTATAAAGTGTAGATGGCTACACTTCTTAGGAAAATATTTTTGGCAGAATGTGACGCGAGCGTTCATAGTAATTTGATAATTACACAGCGCTGTCAGATTACTTTTCCGTTGCAGGCAATGGGTTACCATCCTGCACTGAGCCGGAAACCAATTTAATGTGATAGCGCAATTTTATAGAGTGACAAAATAGTATAATATAATCTTATAAAGTGAGTAGAAGTCATAAACTTTCACGTTAACCAGCGCTGTTTGCCGATGGTGGTCATTTACGTCGAAATCCTAAACTCTGGAATTGCCGGAAATTTAATGAAACAGGCTATTTGTGCACAATAAGTTCTTTTAAATACCATCTAAATTTGTCTATGTTTTCAGGGGCCAAATTTTGCTGTTATAACCTATATTGAACACCCACCTCGGATGACTTTAGTCCTGTAGGTGCGTTCAATCTTCATAGCTATAGAATTCTCTTTTTCGTCATGACCATTCGCTCTGTGGGCAATGGTGAACGCAACAAGAATGTCCGGGGCCTTCCAGATAAATTCGGTGGTTGTATCAGGTGAGGTTCGCTTAATTAGCTCACGCCGCACACGCTAGCTCCCCGCTAGACTTAGGTCATCCTCAGGACGAGCGAAAATAGTGCTTCCCTCGAAAGACCCCTACTGCAAAATACCTCGGCCCTCTAATTTTGGCACGTTGGAACTCTGAGACCGGTCATGCTTTCGGCAGGCACCTACAGAGCGTCAGCGTGACGTGAAGCCGGCTCTGACGAAGGTCCAAAATAGAAGCCACCATGTGACCTAAGGAAAGGCGAAGACCCTCGTGTGGACGTAGCGACACTCTAGCCGCCGCCGCCAGACGAATATAGCGACATGGTAAACGCTCAAATTCGGTTTCGCCCAGAAATCTCTCTTTGAATTCTTTGGCTGGATGATACATCGACCTAACACTCTGATTTGCAAGTGAGATGCGTAGTAAGAAACTCAAAAGTTACTAGGTTTTACCACGGCTTGCACGATAAAACATATAGGTTACATATGTGTACGCATTTTCGCAAGAGTTTCGAAGGTAATGATTCCAGCAACTGACTTGTAAAATAGAAATTTCCGGAGCCCTCCACTACGGCGTCTCTCATAATCATATGGTGGTTTTGGGACGTTAAACCCACAAATCAATCAATGACTTGTAAAATAATGGAATTAAATGCTTTTGAAGTGGTACGCTCGCAGCGAGAAAAAGTAATGTTTGTGTGAACCACCAGATTCTCTACAGCAATACAAAAAATTACAGGAGCGCATTCTTTTTCTTTATGGAATGCATATTTCGAGTGAATGAATGCTGTAATAGGAGCTTACATATTGTCCTCAAGTTACTTCAAAGTACGCTATTCTAGTGATATTTGTGTCAGCATAAGATAATTTGAGTTAAGTTCACGAGCTACACGATGTACACACTGCAAAAAGCTAATTTGTTACCAAAAGAAGACAGCACAGGAATGATCAAGTTAAGTGCAACAGCTTTTTTTCTTATTGTAATCAAATGGAAATCACTGAGCACACAGTTTACCAGCTTTCAATGAGCAATTCATCAGAAGGTGTACTCTGTGAGGTCCATGTGATAGTATGGTGCTCAGAGAGCTTGTTTGTGGTCAGCCGAAAAGTATATACAAGTATCCAAAACTTCGTTTGTATCTCGATTATAAATCACAGGAAAAAAGTGCAAGCATGAAGCCTTCAAGTGTTAATACACAGGCTGATATGCAGCGTTTCAAACAGTAGGAATGTTGTAAATATTCTTTGCTTTATGCGTGTATCGTTCACATCACAAGCGGATCACGATGTGAGGTAGTAATAAGCTCTTCTTGCGCATTCATTATTGCACCGCAAGTGAAAAAGCTGCAGCACAAGAATGTCAGCAGTGGCGTAGTTTTTCAGGGGTGTTTGGCTAATGTGCGCTTGCGTAATGTGCGTGTGGTTTCATTAAAATGAATGATGCCAACATTTGCAAAACTTCAATACTTTCATGATCAATATTTGATTGGATTTCGTTTATTCAAGACATAATTGTGACAAGATGCTTTCGGAGGAGACCACCAAAGGCTTAAAAACGTAACAATAGGTATGATTTTTACATGAATTCCATGATAAAAACAGAACTGCAAGTACAGAGCAGACAAATATAAAAAGGGATCACATTCGAAGGCCATCACTAAAACAAAAGCGTACTGCCAATATAATGAATACAAAAAACCACTATCCAGCCCAACAGAGGACAGTTACACTTTACATAGTGCAAAACATAATTCTCCAATACGGTAAACCTAGATCGACTAATTGAAAAAAATCAGTTATTGCTAGTCGAAAACTTATTAATAACATTGCGTTTGCTGTGAAGGTTCAGCAGTTCACGATGCACCACGAATGTGCCTAAACAATTCATCGGACTATCATTCTTAGAAGACGTTACATTTCACTGCTCTCGACTGTGGGAATCGGTTTCCTGTTTGCAACACTCAGCGGAATGCTCACTAGTTTACAAAGCTAAGCATGAACGCAAGTAGAATGACTGTGTAATTTTCGTGCCAGGTTCCGAGATTAGTCAAGAGCGATAATTTTTAAATGCTGCAATGACATTTCCGCGTACCGTACCGAGTAATGTCGTCTGACATTCAGTGCTCACGGCGGGACCGACATCAAAACCGGGCGGGTCCCATTCGTGGCGCTCCTCGCGACAGCGGTGATTAGTTCTGCGAACGCACAATTTCTCCTGTGACGTCAGCCGCCGTAACGCTGTGCATACGTTTTTCCATTTAATTTAGCCAAAGAAACAAGAGAGGGCACCACTGTTGTCCTGTTCTAGACCTTGCCAAGTGCCATTCGCCAGACCGCGGCTTGCTTCCAGACGTTTCTTAAGTTAGACTTCGTGACGGAGCTGTTGGAAGGTGAGACGAAATTAGAGAAAGGGTCCCCCGCTCACCCTTTCGTTTCTCAGTAGAGCGAAGGTTCTGGGACGCCATTGCGGCGCGCCACATCTCGCGGGGGGTTGCCCGCGAGAACGCACAGCTTCGCGAGAGAGTTTCAATCGTCCATACATACCCCAAGTGGGGGCCGCTTCGCAATGGAACAGGTCGCCTTGGTCCGACGAAGAAGCGCCTGAGTCTCCGATGGCGCGCAGCGAAATCGTCATTTCTATCCACTCACTACGGAGCGTTCCTCAAGAGTCGTACCGGACCCGCAAGTGCGCCGTCATGTTCAGCAGGTCTTGGAGCGAGCCGCAGCACCGGCCTGAGCACGATTTTACGCCTGTGAGAGAGCACAATGTTCAACCGGTTTCCCATGAGGTCGCGCCTACTAACGGCTCTCGATGACTTCGACGACTTTTTCCGCGACATGTGCCGGCTCCCACGTTCCCGTCCTTCGAGAAGGTTTTCCGCGAAGTCAAGACTACTGTGGATGAACACAACAAGCTCCTCATGGAGGTAGACGGGCACGAGTACGAGCCCGAGGAGATTACAGTAAAGGCCATCGATGGCCGTCTGCTAGTGCACTGCAAGCGCCAGCGTGCCGGCTGCACCAAGGAGACCCATCGCGAGATCTCGCTGCCCGAAGCGTCGATGTTGAAAGCATCACCTCGAACTCACCGTGGACGGCAGGCTGAAGATTTGCGCACTCCTGCCGGGTGCGTACGGCTCGCAAGAGAAACCAGTCCAACACGCCATGGCCGAGCCAGAGGGAGACCAGAAGGCCGAGGCATATCTGTACGTGACGATTACTAAGCGAGGCTACTGGGATCGGATTTCATTTCGAGGAGGCCTCGCACTGAAATTCGAACCTAGCGGATAGTACAACGTTTTACTCTGCCGTTCTTTCAGGGTAGGCTCCCACCTTGAGCATTTCGTCTTTCCAGTGCAGGAGGACGATTTGAGCCTGTTTCAAGTAATCAGTTCGAATGATTTTACTATTGGTGTTCATGGTCACGAGAAGTTCTGTTCACTATGCTATGAAAAACAAGTTGAACATACGTTAAGTGGGGCTTTTTGATGAGTACCAACAGTGGAAAATTAAACTGGTATTTTCTCTCTTCAAAAAGCCCCATTGTATCCCACTCAAAATGTTGTAGCCCGTTGGACAAGTTCGCCGATGTAACAGTCGAAATAGAGATTGACACTATGTTTCAGATTGGTTACACTGCATGGCCCCCAATCATAGTGCCCAGGCTATTTTAGCGTAAGACATGTACGTTATCAATTGAAATGAGAGATGATTTGACCCAGAAAGCCACATCTGCGTTCAAATTTCATCACGTATGCCGGGGGCCCTTCGCTTCAGCACACACGTGAATTCAAATATCGTGCAAATGGAGCTGAGCACCATTTCAGCTTGATTTTTTTCTATAAGTATTCATAAGTGGAAAATCGCCTCAATATTTCTGGGTTGATACGGTGCCTTTGTGCTGGATACTTTCTGCCCGATGAGGCATTTTTCAACAGCACACAGAGCAGCGATCAGAGTGCGTGTCTGCTTGTGTGGCATTCGTTCCTCCGTGTTACTATTGGTGTCCTTTGAAGTGCTTCGAAAATTTAGTCACTCTTACAAACGCTTACTTTAGGAATAGCAAGAAGGAAAAAAAAAAACAATTTAGCGCACACGTACAGGGGAAGTCAAAAATTCCAAGTTAGTATCCCATAT